TGAAGTCCAGATAGATAAGAGGAGGAACAGCTGCCTTTCATGATGATTAAATGTGATCACATTCACTGAAGCAAACCTTTCTGAAATGTGCTGTCAGCCACCTGCGTTTCACTGCACATTATCTGAGTCACTAGCTAGCTAGCTGTTTACAAGCGACGTTTCTCACCTCTGCTTTAGCTATGAGCGTTGCCGGGAAACACACAGGTGTCTTCACCCATATCAGTTAAGAGCTACACCATTCTGCCGTGCTTCGTCTGATTGTTCGGGTGCTCCGCCGTGGATAACCCGTAAACATCTTATTGGAGGCAGCTTAGCTCGCTTTAGAGTGCAGGTTACAAGCTGTGCACGTCGACTTCATAATCATGAACGCGCAGTCATGGGCGTATCATAACCGCAGGAGGCTTGTGCGCATGATTTGTAGATCCGGACTGATCAGGAATGGACTCGCTTGGCCCCGCCCCCCGCTGTCGCTACCGTTGCTTTGGCGCCACCTGGAGGACCCATTGCACTTCGCTGACACATGGAAACCGGTTTTTCCGTTAGTCGGGCGTATCCTGAACAACGAAGCATCACACTTTACACAAGAAAAACAGGGACATCCATTCATTACACTGTAATTAAAGTGCCGCGTTTAAATCCTCCGAGACGTTTACATTGATAAATAAACTGTAGTCAACATGATTTATGAAAGGGTTACAAAATAAAGACATGATCTATTTAGCATGACTTTGCTTTATTGTGTCTCCATTCTAATTAACCCGCTACTTTTTCTTCAGTTACAATATCTTGATAGAAGTGTTATGTTATAAGTTATGTTGTGTGCCTGCTGCCCTCTTGGCCAAATGTCTCTTGAAAAGTAGACAGACAGACAGACAGATAGACAGATAGATAGTTAGATAGATAGATAGATAGATAGATAGATAGATAGATAGATAGATAGATAGATAGATAGACTAAGAGTCACTTTTGCAAAAACCGAAATTGCAAATATTATTTTTGTTATTATTATTTTTGACAGATTATAGACAAAAAACTCTTGCACAACAGTCTGAATATGGCCGATCATTTTCGGGCAAATACCGGAAACTTTTTGGCAGCCAAACACTGTACCACACAAACGGCGTGATATCGTTAGGAATCCGTATTTTCTTATTAGTCACAGGCTCCTATTGCATTTTTAATGGCTGCAAATCCTTAGTAAATAAATATGCTTCTTTGAAATTCTCAACTGTGCCTGTACTACGTTGTTTTATAAATATTAAAAAACGGATTCATTGAAGAGACAGCGCTGGCGTTAAAAGGTGTACAGCAACATTAAGGCACCTCCTCTCCCTCCTCTTTCGGGGTGTGTTCAAGACTGCAGGCTATCACTTGTGTCATTTTGTGGCGAGACTCTTGTGAAACACCTGCTCACAACAGCCCTTCTGTTCATTTTTTTTCAATAAAGGTAAGAGCATCAAAAACTTTATTTCGTCTATCATTGCATTTATGCATGTATCGGTGCGGACCTTTTTAAAAGCTGTTTTAAGTTTCATAGTCTGTGTATTTATCTTAGTGCAATATAAAGAGTTCAAATGTGTCGCTCAGAATTTTCCCTGAGAGGCTCGATTTTTAGGATAATTAAGGAATATAAACCAGACGAAAGTGAAAGTGGATTTATTTCATTTTAGACTGTGCATTTGTTTTGCTTATTCATATGACGATAAAAGAAACATCTTCAATAAAGTTGAACATCTGGAGGAAGATGAAAACCACTGTTTTGTCAGAGACAACATTTGAGCTCAGTGTTTAGACCCGGTTCATCAGTTTTATTTGACATTTTCCCTTTAAAACTCGAACCGAGCTGACCAGATCGCTGAGATTCGGTTTTTTTGGAGACAGACTTAAGGAATATAACGAGACACCACTAGCATGGTTATCAAACTCTTTGTGACCTGATAAGATCAAGAATGTGTGCAGAATTTTAATGTACAAATATAATTTATCGTGGTGGTCAGTGAAAGAGAAAGCCCCCCTTCCGCCAGTTTCACTTTCCATTTGTGTGCCTTGTGCTTTTCCCCCTCCAGATGCAGAAGTGGGTTGTGATCTGCTGGGCCGTCCTGGCTGTGGTTGGTGCTGATGTGTGTCCAGATGGAGGGCTATGTAAAGAAGGGGAAACCTGCTGCAACAGCCCAGCAAACGGTTACGGGTGTTGCCGATATGAAAACGTAAGGCCAGCTGTTATTATACCATCATGCAACTTGAGTGTTCACGACAATGTAATTACATTTATTGTACTTGTTTTAATTGGCTTCCTTTTTGCAGTAAGAGTGGGGGGGGACCAACGGATATCCATTTGGGTTTATGTTCTGCTAGTAACTCATTTAAACCAAGTTTTGATCTATAGAAATCTCACAATCTCTAAAAACAAAACAAAAGAAAACAAATGTATAGAAACGTTTCTGAGAGACGCCAGACATCTACAATTATAATCAGAAGAAATGATTGCTGTTATCGATGAGTTGGTTTACTTAAAACCAGAATCAGACCTGTTGTAAATTATTTTGCTATACGACATTTGTTTAAATCAATAAAAATCTATTAGCTTTATATATTAGTATGAACCGTTTCATTCACACCAACTAAATGCATTCCTATAGACTAAAAACAGCTCAGCTTATTAGCCATCAAGTATGTAAATATTAAAGAGTAAAGTGTTCACGTCTTTATGGTAACTGGACAAAATCTTCTATAGATTTCTGTTTTAAAATAACTCCAAAAGTGCAAAAGGGAGGAATTCCATCCTAACCTAATGAGCAAAGCTGCAGTACGTCACCTTCAGTGTAGGTAAATTGTCCCTTTGTCTATAGTTAAATGTACATGTGAGATAACCCTTCACTTATACTTTAAAGTAAATATAATTATGCAGCGATACTATTCACCCTCAGCTGTGTTTTACTACTTTGAAATCCAGATAGAAGAACGTGCCGCTTTCCCTCAATGTGATAGCTGTTTCAAACTTTGGTAGTCAAAGTGTTTCTACTACTGCTGTCTCCTCAGGCTGAGTGCTGTGATGATCACATCCACTGCTGTCCAGCGGGCACAGTCTGTAATAAAGCCTTATCTGGCTGTATTAATACCACCCTGACCATCCCCTGGGTGAAAAGAACCCCTGCTGATCAGCCCAAAGTCTCTAAAGTAAGCGTCGCCACACGTTAGTTGTTTTCTGTCACAAAGTCAGATTAAATAATCCTGGTGGATTAAAAGAAGTAATACTGTCCCTTTTCCCACCGTCTGACCACTCAGTCCTTCAGGATGATCAAGACATACGAGAGTCAGGAAGACGACAACATCTGCCCCGACCTGTCACGATGCCCTGCTGAGTATTGCTGTCTGAAGGGTTTGACGAAGTTTGGCTGCTGTCCTCTAACTCAGGTAAGCTAACCACCGCAAATAAGATGCGCTTCACATACTTAAGTAGCACTGAGTGGAAAAACAAAGTGAGTGATCACACTAATCTTTTATTTGTGGTTCATTCCTGTGAAGGAATCTTGAATCTAGGAGGGGATTTCCATACATACACACCGATCAACCACATGATCAAAACTCGTTATTCTAATATTGTGCAGCAAAAAAAAATTCTGATCAGAAGGGGTACTCACTCGGGGGTCTCTGAAAGTTTTCACTACCAGGACATTGGTGGCAGAGTTAGTCTGCAAATTTTTGGGTGACTGGTACATATCAGATTAACTTGCATATGATTACTAAGTTCATGGCAACAAGATGGTCATCTATTCACTTCACCTGTCAGTAGCTTTGTTGTTTTGGATAACAGGTTCACGTGTTTTGTCCCCTTGTCATATTTAGTTATTGTCATATTTGGTGGCATATTTATTTCCAGCATCATCTCACTTCCTTTAAAGCTCCCTGGTTGTTACTGTACTTTGGGTACGGCATGTTTAAACATCTTTCACTTCTGTTTTGCATCTTGAATCACACCACTATAACATAGTACAGTTTGGTAAAACTACACCTGCCTTCTCTTTGCTTTTCTAAAGAGTCACTCTAAATAAATCTTAACTTTTTTTACTTACACTTTACAAACTGCATTTAACCTGTTAACAACTCCACCTGCTGTTACAGAACATCCATTAGGAAAGCTATGGATATTTCCCTTGCCCACCCCACAGGCTCTCGTGGGAATAAGTAAAAAGATGTCTTCATGTCACTGGGTTACAGTAGGAAGTTGAATCTATTTAAACAACATGCACTTTAGAAGACTTTTGTTTATCATCTTGGGTCTTCTGTTTAAAGGGAAAGCTCTAACAGAAATTGGCTCAGATCTACAAATCCTTTTCTTATGTATGACCAATACTTCAGTATCTTTCACCAGCACCAACGCAACAATTATTTATGTCTCGTCTCACTGTTTTTTTTCTGCTTGTATTTTATTTTAATTTCAATTTGGGCCTTTATCTTTTTTAATTTCCAGATTTATAGCTAACAGTCTTTCAAGTGATAAACAGCAAAGTCCCTAACCATTTAATCGATGCCGTGAAAAAGACACTTGCACAGTGATAGAGCTTACTTCCTCTCAAAAGAGGATCTTTCTTTGATGCTTTGTTTGCATAGCTGGTTGACCCACTAAGCTTCTACACTTTACCGAGGACATTCGGTGTCTTGGAATAGATTTTTGCTCTTGTTACAAGTTTAATGTAAACTTACCTGCCACTTAATTAGCTACACCTTCTAGCTTGGTCAAGCCCCTCATTTCAAAAAGTCAAACCTCCATGGTGCATAACATGCTTGTTGTATAATTGCAGTCTCCGCATATAACAAGCACCTTTAGTTACTAAATAAATATCTTTTTGCATCTTGAACTTTGCAAAGAGATGTTTCTCAGAGATTCTGGTACATTGACATGATAACATCAGATTCAGATCCATGATGTGAACCTCCTGTTCCACCATATTCAAAAAGTGTTCTGTTGGACCCAGATTTATGACTGTGGAGATCTTTTGAGTGCATTGACCTCATTGTCATGTCAAGAAACTACGCTGAGCTTGTCTGAGCTTTGTGGTGTGGTGCATTAACCGGCTGGAGGCAGCCATCAGAAGTTAGGTATACTGCAGCCATACAAGGATGGACACGGTCAGCACACAGGCTGTGGAATTTAAAAGATATTCAGTTAGTACTAAATGCACCACGAAAACATCCTCCAAACATCACACCACCACCAGCTTGAACCATTAATATATTAGTAGGATGGCAGCTGGTCATTTGTTACTCTTTATTTAACACTGAACCTTTTTTCCTCTTTGAAATCTTTCATTTACTGCATGAATAGATAAACGGTTCCAATGCTTTTGTTTAATTCATAATTCTTGATTTCCTCACTGCTATCAGGGAATCTCCTGCCCTGATGGCAAACACTGCTGCCCTGAGGGCCACGACTGCAGCTCAGACAGCCGTGCCTGCATCAAAAAAGGTTCAACTTCCCCGCCAAAGTATCATAATTCAGTCGTATCACTATTCCTTTTCCCTGTTTTGAATTTTGATGTTCATGTGATATTGTTGCAGAGCTCGTGGTTACAGTTCTATGCAGCGATGGCATTTCAGAGTGCCCAGATGGTACCACCTGCTGTGAAACAAATGAAGGGAAATGGGCATGCTGTCCACTATCAAAGGTACAAAATGCTATTCCATACCATGAGTGAGATCATGAATGACAAAAAAAGTCAAATTATGGATTTGCATGTCCTGCAGTGACGTCCAGTTATCGTGACTTAATGGTGTTTTATTATTTTCCATGTGAACAGGCCGTGTGCTGCGCTGACAAGATACACTGCTGCTCTGAAGGGACCACATGTGATGTCGAGCATTCCAAATGCATTGACTCTTCTACCAAGAAAGAGATGCCAATGTGGGCAAAGCTCCCTGCCAGAGTGAGAGCAGCTTGGGAAAACCAGAAAGGTCAGAAATTTTTCATTGACTGTTTTTCTGTGAACGTTAAGCTTAGTTCCTTGTTCTCACTAAGTATTTGAATGTGTGTGTGTGTGTTTATCTTGATCTTTGTGTTTTTCTGTTCCCAGAAGAAGTGCCAGTTGAAGCAGTGAATAACACGGGAACAGAAAACGCCCCCAAAGTCACCAGAGCCAATCTGCTTCCTCCATCTGGTAAGACAGTAAATGTGTCATCAGTTGCTAAGGCAGCTGCAGGTGAGACTATCCCCATGTAACAAATAATGTAGAACAATGAGAAATGAAAAAGCACATGATTTATCACAAGACACATAAAGGTGATTCCATCTCAAGTTTCAACATCTGAAATGACTGCTGAGAATTTTTAGCTTCTTATTTCAAGTGTTTTCTAGGTTTTTTTTTTTTAAAGTTTGTTGCCTTGCTTCCTTTTGGGGCCTTTTTTTTTGGCTTTTTGGTTTTTAGGTTTTGCCTTTGGTTGCTTGTTTATTGTTTCGGTTAAAAAAGAAAATTCTCTTACCAGTTTCATTATTTCCTGGTAATGACAAGACAAATCTGGTGCTGATAGGCAGGTCTGTTCAGCTATAATTAAATGTTGCAACACCCCGTCTTCAAAGAATGTTTTTGATTGGTGGCAGTTTTTCCCTTACCAAGCCTGCTAACTATTACAACATATTTATAATGCTTGTTCAGAAACATCACTGTAACTCATGAAAAACATGTCAAAATATTACAATGCAGGCAGCCCAGTTTTAACTTTTAATATGATATTAAAGGTAAAAGGGGGAGCCGCTGCAACTTCAGACCCACTCTGAAATCAGTGGAAGCATTTTGGTGGGACAAGCCGGAATGCTAAGAACAAATAACGCACAGATACAGATACCTGCTAAGTAACATGCGAATAGAATTTTACACTTTTTGGATGTGCTGTTACTACAAATAACCACACAGAAAGCTACATTTTTTTATTATTATGTGTCAATTATTGTGTGTATTAAAAAAAGAAAAACAACTTTGTATTTTTGGCAAGTATGGTCAAGAGGTCCAGTTCTGTGAATCAACAGTTTAGCAGTCCTGTCTGCATTCACCGGTCACTCAAATCAGCCACAGCCTAACTTTAAGTTTCAATAAACAATAAATAATCGAAACTCTTACCAGAAGAGCTGAAGCTGTTATAGCTGCAGATGGTGGGCCGACATCATATTAAACCCTTTGGGTTAAGAACAGGATGTCACTGAAGTTCATATGCGTGTGAAGAGAGATGAGTGAATACTTTTGGCAATATACATCATTGGTTCTGCCGTTAGTCCAATATGCATTTTCAATTCAAATATATATTTTTAATGTGATGATTTTTGTTGCAATGTCATGGAACAAAAAAACACTGAGGCTGAGGGGCAGAAACCTGATGTACCACATGGTTTGTTTGACAGAACAAACTTGACAGTCAACCTTTTAAAGTACTTGGAAAAAGAAGAAGTTTTGTTTTTAAAGAATGGCTTTTGTAGCGTGACATCTAAATTGTTCCAGTAACTGTGACTGTATTGGTAAATACTTCCTCATATAACACAGACTGCTCCAAACTGACTCTGATTTGGCTACAAGAGAAAGGAATAGTGGTGAATGCAGCTGTCTTAATACAACAGTGCTTTTGCCTGCATTACTTCTGACCAAAACAGCTCTGTTCCTCCTTAATTCCTGCCAACTATAAATGAGTTATATCTTTATTTAGACAGGAATTATTTATCTTTCCTCCATGAGCCAATCAAATGTGTTTTGTGCAGCGAGCACGGCAGGACACACATCTCTGATTAGCTTTAACTATGGTGCATCCTCTTCATTCTCATATTTCCACTATTTGGTCTGAATTCACTGTCATCATTACATCTCTATCATGGTACAACACAAATGACCGTATTGGAGTCATTTGGACAGTTGCCCCTTGTGACTTAAAGCAGGCTTCTTTAGACCAAGGCAGTTATTCAATTCAGTTAAAGTTTTAGTGCAGTTTTATTTATATAGCACCGATTCAAAACAAAAGTCGCCTCACTGTTAGTGAGAAAACTCCAGTTATCAGACAATCGCCTGTGAGGAGCAGAAGATCCACCTGAACCAGCTCGAACTATAAGCTTTATTAAAAGAAGTGTTTTAACAGTAAATACGGTGTCTGCCCCCTCAATCCAAACTGGGAGCTGGAATTTGCTGGTTCCCAGTCTACTTTGAAAAACTCTACGAACCACAAGTAAACCTGCAGTCTGAAAGTGAAATGCACTATTGGGATAATATGGTTTTATGAGGTGTGGATAACATATGACAGGCCCTGATCATTCAGGACTTTGTATTTCAGGAGAAACGTTTTATATTTAATTTGCAGTCGTGTAATTGTTTTAGTCTTTTATTTAAATACAATTAAAATGTTTGCAGTTTTGAGTTTATGAATTCTTAGTCACAGAATGGATGTCTTTACTGACAGTTATTTAAGTAAAACAAAACTATTTAAAGACGCGTCCCTGGTCTGGGGTAAATTATACTAGTTTTTATGTTATATTCATTTTTTACTGTCGCAACTCAGAAATAATATTTAATTGATTGGGACGTCTTCATTTTCTTTACTTTTGTTCGTGTTAAAACTCACTGACAACTGACATTGCTCCATAACACTGCGAGTGGACAAAGAATGCACCGGGTAATTTTAGTAATTATAACATGGAACTGTTCATTGTCGTCAATTCCAAATGTGACAAAATCTCATGATTATCTCGTTGGTTGTTCTTATCACTTATCAAATGGTTCATGAGGATGATTATTACATTCAGTCAGTGGAAATGAGGGCTCACAACAATGGCAGTCATGAAACATTAGTGGATT